TGGACAAAGACTTTGTATGCCGCCATTTTAATAGTTTCTGTGGAAACCATGAAAACAAACTTTTAGACGAAAATGATGTAAATAATTCCTTTAAACTGTATTGATTAATTACTCTTTGATAGAGGAATAAATAATGAAAAGTACTCCAACTTGGGTTGATCAAGTTCAAGATAAATCTGAACGATGGTAAATATAAAAATATTTTTAGTAATATAATAACTACCAAATCATTCAAAGTTTGTTGAAACAATTGAAAATACTTACATTACTTTACTTTACTTTAGTCAGTAACATTGCAATGATTATGTCTTACTTATATAATTTCAAATAATTTGTTTTTAAATAAAATCATATTTTCATGTTATTTTATTGTAATACTGTTAATAGTTATAGCTTTAAAATTAATTGTATTGTTTCATATTTTTTTTCCTTCATTACAATTTCTTTATTTTACAATTTTTTGATATAAATTTAACCATTTCTGTACAGCAAAAAAGGAATTAGAGGAAACAAAATAAATGTTCTGTTACCCATGTATATTAACTATTGTATTATATTCATAGCATTAAAAATTATCTTATAATATTTTTGCAGTATATATGATCTATGTTTTAACCCAGATGGAACTCAACTAATTATTGCTGCTGGACAGCAAGTTCTTGTTTATGAAACAAATGAAGGTGCTTTAATTCAATCATTAAAAGGTCATTAAACTTGTAAATTCAATATTATAAAGTAATTAGTTTATTAACATATGAATTATGTTTGTATTTATGGTTTATAGGTCATAAGGATGTAGTATATTGTGTATGTTATGCAAAAGATGGTAAAAAGTTTGCATCAGGAAGTGCAGATAAAAGTGTTATCATTTGGACGTCAAGGTTAGAGGGTATACTTAAATATTCGTAAGTAATTTGTTTTCTAAATTGTATGATTAATAAAGTAATATTTCTTAAGTACATCCCTCAACTCTAATCGTTGTTTATCATTGAACAGTTTGTTTTTAAAATATTATCATATATGCAATTTATAATTTACTTATTATTCTGCTATTAAGATACTACTATGTTTTAGACATAATGAAGCTGTTCAAGCTATACAATTCAACCCAGTATCACACCAACTTTTAAGTTGTTCTTTATCAGATATAGCATTTTGGTCTTCAGAACAAAAAGCAGTTGTGAAGCATAAATCAAGGGGAAGAGTAAACTGTTGTGCTTGGACAAGTGATGGTCAATATTTAGCTATTGGTTTGGCATCTGGCTATGTCTCCATTAGAAATAAAGTTTGTTGTAATTCTAGAAAAAAAATCGTTATTTATAATTTTTTCAGTTCAAAATGTTTTAAAGTAAACAGTAATACTAACAATGTAGATTTATAAATCAATATGTGAACATAATAATATTAAATATAAA